GTTACCGTCGGGGCAATAGAATGAAAATTTTATGTAACATACACACGGATACGTTGTGCCGTGAATAAACTTACTCTTTTTTCCGAAGCTCACGTGTAATTCGTTTCTACATTTATCTACACGCATTTGTCTTCTACATAAACTGTTCAATGAAATCCATTTGTGTATTTTAATTTTAATTGCAGCTGCAGGCCACGCCAGACACACTGGCCAGACCCCACCAGCGTGGTAACGTAATCGAAGTAAGTTCCGCAAAAAAGAAAACAGAGAAAACAATTTTTTATCCATTACGTTACAGTCTATCGCCTCTCGAATCGGTCGCGAGCACTCGATAACGATGATCGAACAGCGCGTGAAACTCGTCGCTATGGCTCCACCTCCCTTCTGCCTCTTCCTCATCTCCAAATTTGACCGTGAAAAAAATAAAAAAAAAAATCAGAAAAAATAAAAAAAAAACACGAAAAGAGATAAAAGAGATCAATCGAAAATGTCGGATCATCCTCTCTCCACCCGCAGAGGACGAGCACCGATTCGCTCGGAATCAGGCAATCGATCGCGCTAGCTTCGGACCGAAGGAACAGGGGCCCTTTGTTGATCACCTCCAACTCGATCTCCAACCACACCACGAAAAACCAAATTCTCGACGATCTCACCGACTTGTGTCGCGGTACCGTCTACTTCGATTACGATAGGATCCGCAACGATGACTATTTCCCCCAAGGCGAGGAGTACGAGGACGAAATCGGTTTGGATTATGATCAACTACAAAATGAACTTCCCAATAAACGAGTTACCAGAGACGAAGACATGGATTTGTGATCGATGTTCTCGATGTCGTTTAAGCATCACTTAACTTCCAGTCGAGTTCGTTGAAAAAAAGCAATCCATCACCGAATGCGTTGGTTTCCTGATTTAATCGTTAAAACGGTTTCCTGGGTATTTTATTCATTCTTGCGTACAATACGCAAGAATATGATCATCGAAAGAATGTCGTCTCGACGCGGACTTCGCCTTGCGATCGTGATATAGCCATCTCCTTCATGGAAACGATCGTTCGTTAACTGAACATTCCATCCACGCGACAAATTGCATACCGTACATGTTCAATTCACTCTTGGCGGGGCGAAGGAGGGAGGTGGGCCAGAGGCAAGGCGTTTGCAACGAGCGATCGGAGGAGAAACGAGAGATCTAAAAGAGATTCTAAAAAGCGAATCGCAATGTGATATATCCAGAGTGTAGGGACAAAGAGACAGCTACGACTCGGCGAGCCGGACTGTGGCGAGGAGCCGCCCGATTGGCCTGAAAGGAGCCCTTGCCATCCGCCGAAGGGCCCCTGTGATCCCATGGGTCCACCGGGCTATCCCCCGAAACCGAAGCCTAAGAAGAAGCCGTTTTGCGTTAAATGCCCAGCGAAGAAACCGTGCAAAACGAAAAAATGTTAGGTGTCGGGTGTCATGAGCGCGCCGAGAGACAGAGGGTACGTGGAGGGTAGCGGCAGACTAAACGATATCCCCTATCGATCAAAATCTCTGTTGTCTACGTCGTAGGCCAAGTTTAATGGTTTAACCGCGACGTTCCTGAGACCTGTGTTCAAGCTCTCCACCGCGATGTTCGGCAGCTTTCGAGCCAGAAGTCAGTGTTCTTTGGGATCGTCTCTTTTCGACGCGTGCACACGCGCGAGAAACTTCAATACTACGCCCGTTCTGCCGAGGGAATCCAAGAACATCGTCAGTTTGTCGAAAGAGTTGACGAGATACTTGTGGCAAGGGCAAGCGAGGTTCTTTCGAAACGACTCTATTTTAAGGAGCAAAGCACGCTGGAGGAAGCCACCACCTCCTTCTCCACCGTCGGACTGCTCCTCCAAGTCAGTCCCCGACTGTACGAAACAGACTCGACCGAGAGGATCTTGCAAACAATCGTACCAACGACAGAAACCTTACGTTTCGTCTGCGTCTTGTCGCCCACGCCCGAAGAACTCCAAGTGTCTGCAGCCTCCGACAACATGTCCACCCCCTTGCTCCACGCCTCGTGTAAAGTCCAACGAATGTCCGCCACCAAAAATATGCTATCGGAAGTGTCCTCCGCCTCCGAAACCACCGAAGCCTCCGAAATGTCCCAAGATCCCTGCTCCATCGCCACCTCCATCGCTGCCCAGAGTACCCAAACCACCAAAGTGTGCGCCACCCTGTCCTCCACCTCCTCCACCGCCTCTACCCAAGTGTCCAAGTGCACCGAAGTGTCCCGAATGTCCACCGCAGAGCGAATGTCCGCCACCACCGCCGTGTGAACCTTGCCCTTGCCCCCCTCCCTGTCCTCCGTCGTCCTGTCCACCTCCACCCCCGTGTCCACCCTGTCCACCAGCCGATCCCTGTCCGAAACCGCTTCCTTGTCCACCTCCTCCTTCACCCAGAATCTGTCCGTCTTGTCCATCGTGTCCAGAGTGTCCCAAATCTCCTCCTTGTCCGTCGCCACGACCGTGTCCACCTTGCCAAGACACTGAGCCTTCCTGCCCCAAGGACGTTGCATCCTGTCCGAAAAATTGCGGAAGACCAACGAAGAAGGGTCTGACAAACGGGCTGAAGAAGAGGAAGTTCTCCACCTATCACGCGGTATCTAAATTCGTTAGACGGCCGGTAAGAGCCGATTGCAGGGAGTTCCATACGTGCACGGGTAAGAAATCCGAGAAACCGGCGAAAGCAGCCAGCTGCAAAGATATGGGTGACATTTGCGAAAATGGAGGAACCTCGTCCGTGAAAACCTCCGAACAGAGGGATCCAGAGAACAAAACGAAGAAGAGCAAAAAGAAGGACGTGTGCGCTGGCAGAAAGCCAGTGAAACTGCAGAAGAAGAAGAAGAAGGAGGAGGAGAAGGAGGACGAATGTGTGTATAAGTGCATTCGAAGGGGAAAGTGCGAGCAACCAATTACTGGTAAACCGCTGAAAATGGAGTACAAACCGGTCGTTTGTCCACCGCCAAAGTTTGCCTCGCCTGCACCCTGTCCGGAGATCCCCGAGGCGGTGTACGAGACAGACCTATGTCCCGAGACTCCACGTACCAAAACGAAGAAAGAGATCTGTGTCCCGCCACCGGTGCCAAAACCACCGACAGACCCGGTAGTTCTCTGTCCTTGCCCGACACCGTCGAAAATTCACCCTGGACCTTGTCCTTGCTACAGTATGAAGGTGAAGAAACCATCAAAGTCTACGATGCCACCGTGTCCACGCAAGCAGTATATCTGTCGCAGGGAGGAGATAAAGCATTGCGTACTGGAGAATCTGAATTGCAAGAAACGCCAGACTTGCGACCCAAAGAGGAGAAAGAAGAAGGAAGAATAGTGAAGGTAAGTGCTTTTGCATTATGCGATAGTTTTCTTTAAAGTTCCTACGAAATTTAGAAATTTATTCTTACTGTTGTATATAATAAGATTGAAAGATGGTTAAATTTTTATTTTATAAACTGTCGATCTTTGAATTGTTGTTATCTCATTGAAAATAATCATCGAGTAGATCTTATTTTCAATCCTATGTGTAATTTCATCTCATTTGTCATATTTTTTCTTTGAAAATTATATATTGGATTGATCGTGAAATGCTATTTCTTTCTTTAAAATTCAAATATGACAAGGTATATAATACTGTCTATTAAACTTCATTCATCATCGATTATTCATTAAGGGAAATAATTAAGGGAAAAAAATTTACTACATAAATCATAAATTTGAATTTATTCTAAATTTTATTTATTTATTTTAAATTAAATTTTAAATGTATAATTAAAATCTCCTCAATGGTTATTATGATTCATTAGAGTATCTTTATGCATACGATTATTTCATGCGTTTGCTGAATTTACATTTAGCAAACTTTCTGTCTTATCCAGGCAATTTTTCGATCAATAAATTGTGTTTAAAAAATTTTTGACATTATTCAAACAAAAACTATAACAGATATATCCCAAAAATATTTGTATTTTAAAATTAATTGGAGTGATAAAATGCTACTTGGGTAATAGAGATATGCAACAATATTGAAAATGTCGATTTAGTTTTAAAGGAGATATAACATGTGGTTAAGAATTAAAAAAAAAAAAGAATGAGGCCAAGATTTATTGTCATTTAAACAGTACAGAAATTAAAGATTTTCAATTTTATTATATACTAATTTTTTTCATATAGAATCAGTTTCTAATCAGTTGTTTACAAGATATAGGACACCTCGTATGTATTTCAATAATGTAGTTCATAATATAGTTCAGTATACAGAGCGTTCCGAATTTAAATGTAAAAACATCGGGAGTATGTAAATCGATAAAATAAGAAAAAAAAATCCTTCAAGATTAAAGATTTCCATTTTAGAGAAAATCGTGAAAAAAGAAAGAAAAAAGATTTCATTTTCTTACTTATTCAGTAAGTTTATTTGATACCAATCAAATCAAGAGAGCAACTAAGAGGCCAAATGTGTAGTTTAGTTTAGTGTATCAAACATCATTAGAATAATGTCTAGTTGTATTATTCAGAATGATCCATATTTGATTTTGAACAGTGTCTTCATTAAATAAATAATGTGGATGATAAGTATAAGACGATAATATGGATCGTAAAATACATAATAACATGAACAAATGCAAATAAATAAACGAAGAAACCTTTTTTGTTTCTTTTTCCCAAAAATAGAGCAAAACCGAGCAAAACTCTAAACGAGATAAATTTTTCTTAGGTTTATCAGTCCCCGAAGTTTTGATATTTAAACATTCTGTATAATACTGTTAATTCTTCAACTTTTAGATGAAGAAAATGCCCAGACAATCACTGAAAACGGAGGACAGAGGGGATCGCAGTATCTCACGGGGTCTATCAGACATTGATTTCCCGGATCGATGATCGTCAACGATATTTTCAGTCGCTCCGTTCGTTGGCTCTCGCTTCGAGAGGATCAATCGAGCATCAATTGAAATTTCTTTTCTTTTTTTTTTTTTCTCGCCTATTCCCTGACTCGCAACCGCTCGAAAGATTCGAACGAAACGAGACGCGAGAAGACGAACGGGCAGACTTGTTCGTGTGTGTTCTTTGTCGCGTGCCCGACGTCGCGCGTCTTTCGTCTTAAATTCACTCGTCGTGCCGTTGAGTCTCGTCACGTACAGGCCCGACAATCGCGAGGAAGGTGAAAAGCCATGGAACGTGGTGGCAGAACGTCTCGAAAATTCTTCGCCCCTTTCGTAACCTTTCTGGCAGGGTCGAGCTCCGCGGATAAATCCAACCCTTGGCTCGAAACGACGAACAAGCTTCGTCGTCCACGCGACACTCGACATACATTCGTTCGGTTTTTCTAAAAGAAGTGCAAGTCTAAATTTTCGAATAGACCTCGTGGTTAAGAACTGTCGATTCCGTGAAGGGAGGAAATGAAAAGACAAGAAGATGCTACGGGAGTGAGATAGGCTCGGGAAAACGCAACAACAAAAATAACACCTAAGTTCCTCGTCTCTATAAACTGATCTCAACCGCGAGGAGAAAGTTCCGCTATTGTCACAGAGAAATTTGTCGAATAATTCAATAAATAAATCTGTAATAAACTGTAATAAACTGTAACGATTAATTTTATTTGGATTATTGGTAGTTTCAAGTACATCGGGTTCGAATATTAAGGGTCTCTCTTTTAACAATCTTATAATAAATTTAGACCCTTCACTTAGACTGAATTAGTAAATTAGTAAATAATTCAGATCCTTCACTTAGACTAAATTAGTAAATTAGTAAATCAGTAAATAATTTAGACTAAATTACTACTTCGTATCGTTTATTACACTAAACTAAATTAACCAAAATTATTCATCGTTTATCATGCTAATACTAGTTTAGTTAGTGTAATAGATATAGTTAGTCGCATTAATGTAACAAATTAGTGTTAATACAATAAATGAACGAGTTCGTGCTTTTATTGCGCCAAATTTGATTAAACCAAATTCATTCTCATTTATAGACTGCGGATTTTTATGGACTCATAAAAAAATTTGGAGGAAAAGTTTATGAGAAAAAAATGTGTATAACGCAAATATAGTATGCAAAAATATGTAAAATATCAGAAATAAAATGTTCGTTATAATGTTTCATGGAAGAAACAAGCTTCTATTTAGGTTTCATTCCTATAGTTATATATCTAAAGAATTACAAATGCATAAAAATCCACAGCCTATAAATGAGAATGAATTTGGTTCGATTAAATTTAGCGCGATAAGCGTCTGAACTCGTTCGCCCGTTCTGAACGAATTATAATAAAATCAATTCACTGAAATCACTAATTTTTAAAAAAATTGAACATTAATCGTATACTAGTATCATGAAATTAAGAAATTAATTAGTTTGAGGCTCGTGTATAATAACAAAATACAGTATTGTCATGTTTTTTTTAATAATAACCTGGTAAGTGTTACTTCTAATTAGTAATTCATCATTAATCAACACATTTCCGTAAAACTCGTACGCTGTCATTGCAAATCGTCCACAATATGGAGTCCAAGTATTTACAATTTATTAGATCAATAGCAGCGAAAATGTTAATTAAATACAATAAATTTGTACCGATACGACGACATACAAGAAGATGCGAAAGATTTCTCGGGGAATTCGGGATCTCGAATGATCGGTGTGTTCTTTCTGCCACGCGCGCGATCCGGAAACCATAAATTCCTCGGCCGATTCAACGAATTTGCGAGTGTCCGATCGCGTGGGCTCGTCTGAGCAATAGAGCGCGCGGAAGGAGAAATTGCCATCAAAAGCGGTTCGTTACAATAATATCGACATTTATATACGAGTCGGCTCCAGCCAGAGGAAACAGATAGTTGGGAGGGAGTAGAAAGCAAGGACCGGCTGAGGGGAGAGGATACAACCGGGGTTCTTATCATTTTATTATTGGGGTGAGCAACCCTCCATTCCAAGAACGACGCTTTACTTTTACCTTCCATTGTCTGTCCCCTCTCTCGTAAAGGCTTAAGGGCCGTTTCCAAACGCTCGATTCGATTATCATCCGCGGATTCCCTTCCTTGTCCACTCGGGACGCTTCGTTACTTTCCTTCTCATTTTCACGCTATCGCTTCGACTTTCCACAGAGTTTCCAACTTTCCTAATTTTTTTCATTTCGAAGATGCGCGACATAAAGCTAGGATTCATTTCGTTTTTAGAAAAAAATTTTGTTCGAATTTGTATATAAAAAACATATCTGTGATATTTTTATAAAAACTCTTAGGGACACACACTTTTGAATGGTACTCTTGTGAAACAGGTATTTTAGAATCTGTGTAAAAGTCGCGTGGAAACAAGTTATCTCAGGATATTCAATTAAAAATCCACTTTTATATTCGTTGAATAACAACACTATTCGTTGAATAATATTTTTAATGTTCATGAAGAAACAGAAGAACTTTTATTTCTATACGTTTGTAAGTTCTATTTTGTCTGAAACTTTTGTTTTTAAAAACATTTATTTATCTGTCCTCATCGGGACATGTGAGAACATTTATCGAAAAAGTTCTACGATCCAAACAGAACCTATTTAAAAGTTCCAGAGCTTTTTCGATTCCCGAAAATAAAGACAAGAAAGATTACAGATAGAAAGTACAGACCAAAATAAATGCGCGGAAGCTGAATTAAATATGAAGAAATTGATATTAGAATATCTTAGTTACAAAATGGAACTGGTTTAACTTCGTTATTCCTGAAAGGTAAGAATTGAGAAATCGAAAGTAACTCCGTTAAACTCGTTAAGTAAATTAATAATTCGCTTCTGAATTCCTTGGGCTGAAGAATGCCTAAACAATGGTGGTAGAATCTAAGACGAGAAGGAAGATAAAAGTCGATCGCATTACTCGCGCGTCGTTGCACAAGTCAGGACAGGCTTATTCACTTCTAACCTGTCCGTTCGATAAAATCGAACCCTCGGTGAAAATGGTTACCGTATAAACAACCTTAAAAGAGAGACTTCGCTCGGCGAACAGTTCTCGGCGAAAGTTCTGTGACCGATTCTCCCGCGGTGGAGAATCATCTCGATCGGCCGCGATCTCTCGGAACGTGGCGCGCTTTTGCCCGTGTCTGTACCACGGCAAATATCGCGAGCATTATCGCGGACGTTCACCGTGATTGGTCGGATTCGAGGGTGGTGTCCTCTCTTTTTCCTCCCTTTCGTTCGACCAATAAGTGACGTTTCCATTGGAGAAAGGGCCCCGAAGGAAGGGAGAGAGCGCGCTCGCGCGCGCGAGAGAGAGAGAGAGAGAAAGAGAACGAGGGGATAGAATCCGGGGCTGGAGTAGACGGTGGAAAGTGGTGGAGGCGGCGGAGAAGGCGGTAGAGGG